AGACGCTTTATATATATATATATATATATATATATATATATATATATATATATATCACTTCGCTGAAAGTTAGTTGCTAGAGTGCCACAACATATGGATGGAAACTAAACAACGAAAGTGGAGAGGAATAAAAAATGTCAAACTTTAGTAACGGAAGTAGATTATCGCAACGTATTCGATATTGAGCACGGCTTCTTGCCACAGGCGAGAGGGTTTCCCGGAACCATTTTAATGCCTCTGGGTTCGCAGTTGCCCAGAGGCTGCGTGCAGGATGTCGTCCATAGCAGAGTTGAACAGAAACGCTGATGCTGAGCAGTCCTGGCCTGGAGAATGGGAGCGAAAGTACACAGTACACCCGCACTTTGCTGAATGAAGCAACCAACGTGTAGTCACACGGACTCGCATGCTTAAGATAGGTGGAAATGCGAGCGTTGTTCGCTCCGGCTTAGTTTCCGGTGTGCCCTGTACTTCCGACACTGTTTACGTAGAGTATTGCTGATCGATGTTCACAGTGCTATGCGAGAGATATAAGTTGCTTCGGTCAGTAGGGATAATGTAGTGTAGGATTTAAAAAAATTACGTCACACGAGTGTTGTGGTAATCAAAAGGTAACGAAAGCTACTGAAAGGATAGTATAGTCGCAGTGAAAATTGTGGGCAGAAAAGTTGTGTAAAAATAGTGCATTCAAGGTGCGTCGATACAATTTCAACCAAGCCCCATGTCTGATGGTCAAAATGAGTGGGATCTAATAACCAACAGAAATGAGGCAGATGACACCTCCAGAGAACAAACTAGTTGTGTCAATAATGCAGTATGTTAGCTAAACTAACCTGGAAAATGACGTCGAACCAACACAGTCCAGTCGGTCGGATTAAAAAAACGATGACAATCGCCGGGGCCAAGATAGATGACACATTGGTACAACCGAAGGCTATTTTTCTGACGACTATCACTCCTCGCATGATCCATATCAAAGCTCACAGGACCCAGGAATTCTCTCAAAGAATAATTAATACCCTTTACTTGCTCCAGAACTGGGTGAACTCGATCGACAGAGCCGATGTGGAGAATTTTCCCATCGGCTGGACTGACCTGGTAATGAAACAAACGGCATCCAGTGGAAGGAATACGGTCAGAAATTACAAAATTCCTCATTAAGAGGACAAACTAGTGTAGCGCTCCTAAACGTATTTGAAGCAACAACGAAATACATTAGAAAGTATCTATTACAACCAGAAGTGGTGCCGATCGTACCGCCAACCAAAGACCTAATGAATCTGCTGAGAAATTCGACTGAGCAAAAATGGGATAAAACAATATATATAACAACTGCAGTTTGTCAGATAGAGGTGGAGGGAAATCAACTATGGTCTCAGCGGTGACTGCGATGGATGGAATTGCCACGGTCGAAGAAGACGTCATTCGAACATGTAGACGTAAACGGATAAAGAGGAATAAATGTTTACGAAAAAGTTAGGTGGAAAGGTTAAAGAAGACATGCACTAGGAAAATGTAACAGTTCCACCAACTATGCTGAGGCATTTAGGAAAAAGCCTAGGACATTGGTGTGTTGGATCTTGTGGATATCATAAAGAAAACGGTAAACTACAACCAACTGTCTCTAAATCAAGCTTTAATGATCTATGCATGTCATTCGGCTGACTACCTTCCTCTTTTAATCAGCCCGTTGTTGTGCCCGGGCAACAATATACACAGTGTAGAGGTGTGGGAAGTAGGTAGTTTGGCAAACATAGACGATTCAGTGCGACGCCAGAGACCATGAAGCCAAACGCCAATTGGCGGTATCAGCAAATCCAATAAAATATTATTCCAGATACAAGACAGAGCATGTTGCCACCATTAGTCAAAGTTCGCCAGGTTCCCAATAACTTCGTCGCGCGATAGACACACCAATGATAAAAATGGGAAATTTGCAGGGAGCACAGAGTTGCATACACTGTCCTTGGTATAGATGCTGAGATATCGTTATTTAAGTGGAAAAATTGAGGAGCTGAATTAATAAGACGGAAATAGTATCTGAGGTAAATGATATTTTCCGGATAAGCAATTAGAGAAACAGTAGTGTCCTTCCATAAGATAACCGCGCGGAGCAATAGCTAGTCCCGGAAAAACTTTGTGAAGTGGTTCCATCAGCTGGCAAACGCTTCGTAGTCAAAGAGTGCGAAACCGACTTGATTACTGATCCCTGATGGCAAAGAACTGGAGATAGTTGGTCAAACCACTAATTGTGGTAGCTGCACTAAGCAGCAGCGGAGTAGTGAATAATAAAATTACATGGTGAATTTAACAGTTTAGAACCGCGGTGTTCACAGACCTGCAGTAGAGGTCCTTCTTACCTGTAAAACGGAGGACTTTAAGCGCCTGCAAGTCTCGGATGATCGTGGCATGCAAAACACGGTTCGTGTCGAATGGCATCACCGCATCAGCAGGGACGATGCGCGCAGGCGACTACCAGGTGGTGGTAATCAGGTCATTTCTCAGATCAATAAATCTGAGTAAGTTACGTCGGCCCGTGGATGTTACATGTATGCTTACCCACACTCGTTAGAGACAGCCTTAATTCAGTTGCCGGATGGCATAAACTTTTTAAGCGGATGTTAATCTGGCCGAGGGAAATGAAACCACTGAACACTAGACTGTGTGTTGTTGTTGATCAAATTCATCTTCCAGGCTGGTGTTCTTACGAGTTGCTCTGTGCTTGGGTTGGAACTTACAGTTTGACTCGTGAATGGCACCAGTAGCGCGTGCGTAGCCGTTTCCCAGCCAGATGATGTAGTTACGGTGTGTCTGACGCTGACTAGTCGACGGCACCTCATCTTCGCGTTATAGCCAGCTCGTTGTGATCGAGTGCTGCCCGAAAAGCGCTTCGATCCTAAATGCTGGCCTAAGGCCCAAATCCTCTCTTCCCCCTCTTGTTAATAGCATTAATTAGAAAGGCTATTGTTGTGTATCGCAAAGGAATGACTCTTGTAGTCGGTGTTTTTGCTGTAGGAGGACGAGGGTGCAAAAGAGACTAGAAAAGGGATGTAAGAGTAACATTCCTCTTTCAGGAGCACACTGTGGTCAGGTTAACAGATTTCTGCTCACTCTTCCAGTTGTAAATCCAGCGCTACACCTGTCCGAGAGCGAAGATGATGCAGTGTAACAGAATATAAGATGAACAAAGAGACAATCACACAATTTCGATGAGGAAGCTTCAGTGACCGGTTACCTAATGGTAACCGGTAGAGTAGAAGTTCGAGGAAAGTTAGACAACTGTCATCGCTGAAGAACTAGTAGTTTATTTCGTCTCCGGAAGCCAAAAGCGAAAGTTGCCAGTGGTCTGAATAATAAAAACGAACAGGTGGAATGACCATGTATTTTGCGAATCAGAGGTCAATCCCAAGAAGACGAACCAAAAGAAGGTTGACGAGTATGAAATGAGGAAGTCACAAAATAAAAAGGACGCTGGTAGAGATTGCGATAGGCGCCGATACGACCTCGTGGAAGTTCAAGAACAACGGAGGGCAAGAATTTTGTCTCGTTACGGTGACGCAGCGACCACAGTCCATGAGTGAAGCACAAATAATGAAAATGGTAGAAAGTAGGACTGAGTAGAAGGGTGATTAAAACTTTAAGGCATACTGCACTGTACGGTGACAATTGGGATCATCCTCCCAACTTCAGGACACATAAGGGTTGTCGAACAACCATGACTCAGGCGTCGAATTCGGTGCACTCATAAGGGTTGGCTTAAATCGTCATGAAAACAAAAATAGACAGGGAAAAAAGAGAAGAGAGGAGTGTAGAGGTGCTCGGAACTGATGGAGAGAATATCAGTCAAGAAGAACATTATGAATAATAAAATGCATGCGGTTACTTCGAAATAAGTTTATTACATCCGAGTACGAAGAGGCATTCTAAGTCACGGAAACGAAAAATAGCATGAGACGAAATGAAGAACGTGGACAGAAGAGGGAGAAAATTCTCTTCCAAAAAAGCGCAACGTACCAAAGCAGCCGCTTCGTCAATAGGGCGGCAATGAGCCGCTAGTTCTCGTGAGAAGAAATCCGAAACAGATGCGTACCGCTTCAGATCCGTGTATTTTAACTCACTCAAATCGCAACCAAATAAGGCTGCATATAGAGAATAAATGACCGGGCGGGCGAGGACTGGCACAGGGCACTCGGCAAGCCAACAGATGAGCCTGGAAGTCGCATTAAATGGAAGCCGACGGATAAGAGTAGCCTAAAACGAACAGGGATCAGAGCGCAACCAGGTAAAGGATGAATCATAAAAATGTGCATTGGGTGGGTTAGTTAAGCTCAGTAAGGTGACTAAGTAACAAAGCATCATGGGGAAGTTGATCGAAATCATCATCAGTAACATAGACATGACACAAAAAGAAGAGCCGTGAAAAGCGAAAAATATAAAACACTGTAAAGAAAAAGACAGCGGAAAAGTGGTTGGGAAGGAAGGAAAAATTCACGGATCAAAAGTTTAATGACTAGACGCAAAAAAGTGTAAGTAAGGATGCCGCTTACCTCCTGAATGAGACACGTCGAATTTGGCTACAAATCACTGAGGTGAGGCTGATCCTGAGAATCCCCATAAGGAAAGCGATGGGTGCTAACTTAGTCTATGTGCCCACTCAACAGGTTAACATGCATTATAGGTTGCGCACACGACGGCTTTAATAAAGCAAGTGTGCCAATAGCAGACGACGACTTCGGCAGACAAATCGGTGTTGCCTGTTGTCAACTGCCAAGTAAATCTTACTCATTCCGCGTTTCCGCCAGACACACGGAGGATTTCGCAAGTATTGATGACTAAGGGTGATAGTAGAGAAATTTTGGCCAAACTAGTGCGGTGTTCATGTTAAACCGACACTGTGACGAATGACTTGTGGTCTCAATAGATTACACCGTTGAGCATCATTTTTATAACAGAAATGAGGCCGTGTTGCTAGTGATTTCAAGTGAGTTGACTACAAATAAGCAAAACGGATGTTGCTATCACGTCGGGTTTTTTATTTTCAGTTTCATTTCAACTAGGCGGTGCGTTCCATGCCTCAAATGTTCGCCTGTGATTGAACGGTTATCGCCCTGTAAACGTACAAAGGAAGTGATCTTGGTCATGGTATCTACCTGATACTGAAAGTTGATTGAGAACTATGTTTCAATAACTGATATCTTGCTGATAGCTCAAAGACGCTACTGTATCAATGACCGAAATCATTTGGTTACGTCTGTGGGCAGTTTACTACAAAATCGCAGTGCAGATCCATTTGTTCAGTGCTGAAGTCTTCCTACCACACATATCTCGGGATGAAACTGAGATCAGGAAAAGAAGTGTGCTCCATATATCGTTCGTTTGTCGTGCAATCTTCATATGAGTTAGTGGCCCAAGGGCAAAGGCAAAATGCCCTTTGCAATCCCCATGGTGCGGTACTTCTGCCTAAATAATGCCATTGCATTCTCCAACGGAAACAAGGAAAAAATTCATTACCACGATTTTCCATCATCTATTCGACCTGTTCCTCATGACTGCACCTTACCTATTCCGGTGCCTGCAAAGCACATGTCACTGATGATGTGTAGTGATTCTGCATCGTCAACTTCACCTGATGCTAACATCTGTGAAAACTGCGAAGCTGATGTTGTCAACCTACATCTTATACTGAACACTCAGAGCTAAATGATTTGTTAAGTGACATGGAGTTGCCTGAAGAGAAGGCCGAGTTGCTAGCATCTCGGCTACAGCAGTGGAAGTTACTTGCTGCAAACACTAAGGTTGCTGTATACAAAAAGCGAAATGTTAAATTGTCCGGTTTCCATGACACGAGAGAAACCTTTTGTTACTGTTCCGACATGGAGGGACTTATGAAGGAGCTTCGTGTGAGGCATATCGATAATGAATGGCGTTTGTTTATTGACTCGTCCAAGAGTAGTCCTAAGACCATAGTGCTCCTCAATGGAAAAGTGTACCCAAATGTGCCTCTGTTGCGTGTCACTAATATGAAAGAGGCTTAAGGAAGTATACAACAGATACTCGCTGCACTGAACTACGATAAGTACTGTTGGCACATCTGTTCTGACTTCACTCATTGGACTCGTAATGGGTATGCAAAGAGGCTTCACAAAAGTTTGCTGTTTCTTGTGCTTATGGGACAGTAGAGCAACACAACAGCACAACACAACCGAAAAGTGACCAGATAGGACGGAGTGTGCTGCATGGATAATGAGTGCACAGCATCCACCTTTTGTGCAACCTGATCATATTTATCTACCATCCTTGCACATCAACCTCAGTTTGATTAAAACTTCGTCAAAGCTCTCAAGTGAGATTGTTTTGCGTTTCAGTACCTAAAACAAATGTTTCCGAAGATCCATGATGCGAAGCTTAAAGAAGGGATACTTATTGGGCCTGATATTCGCCGGATAATGGCAGACAGTGCTTTCAAATGCCAGCTGACTTCAATTGAGTTAGAAGCGTGGAGATCATTCAAGGCAAGGTGTACAGGACTTTCGGGTAGCACAAAGTTGGAGAACTATGAGGAATTACACATTCATAACATGCGAGACAGTGGAGGATGAGCCGCGCTATATCGCAGCTAGATATCAGTCATGGCGGTCCGCTGCTGTCGCCCATGGCTCATTGACATAAGTCGCTGGCTCGCAAGAGTAAGGTCGTGGGTTCGAATCCGGCAGGATTCGGCGGGTGCGAGCTACTGACGATTCCCAATGGGGCGAAACGGCCGTCTAGCGCTTTCCTGGATGGGTGGTAGCTGTCCGCCTGTGTCTAACTGCGACGAATCTACAAAAAACCTAACAAATCCCCTACTACTTAGAAAGATTACGAAAACTCATTGCAAACTATCAGGCTGTTGGTGCTCACATATCACTCTAGGTTCAGTTTCTACATAATCACTTTGACTTTTTCCCTGAGAAGTTGGGACCAGTTAGTGATGGACATGCTGAGTGCTTTCACCGAGACATTTCAGTCACGGAGCAGTGCTACAGTGGCTAGTACACGCATTCAATGATGGCGGACTGTGGCTGGTTTCTACAGCTTGGTGGCACTGGATCAAATAAGCGACGATCTTAGCGAAGTCATTATTTCCCAGTGCCAAGCTGCGGTTATTAGTTATGGGCGACTTTAGCAGTGGTGTTTAAACTTATTTGCCACGTACATGTATACTGGATATGTTGTGACTCAGTAAAGTTAGATATAATTCGTACGATCTAGACTGGACATTACTGAAAATAATCACTAGCTAGTAACAATATAACCTGATATCGAAATACATTTCTACGATCAGTGGAGTGTATTCTATGAGGTAGACAGTATCAATATAGTTATAGAAAATAAATTTTTGTTGTACAGTGTTACTAAAGCTTTGGAAGATCACGAGAGAGAAACACATTTGGTTTTGTAGCCTGTCAGGTGAGTTCGCCGGCATACAAACAAGCGAATCGACTATCACAAATAACCGTCGATGCTTATGAAAACTGGCAGCATGCTGGTCCAGTGTAGTAACAGAGTCATGGACAGTAAAGATGCAAAACACATCGCAGCCTAAAAGGCTCCGTGTCCACATACTCAGTAGGTAATGAGGCGTCACGGTTCTAGCCAGAAAAAGCAGCAAGATTACCGCAGTCTAGGGTTCGTTCCAAGCGACTTGGTAGGGTTCTTATGCAGGAAATAGCAGTCAGAGCACTTACTCATGATGACTTAGAAAAGAAAATTAGGGAGACATAATAAAACATACTTGACACAGCATATACTTGGTGATGAACTCGATGAGAGACCAGTTCAATTTGTTTAATTAATGTGACTCGTTCACCTACGCGTGGAGAGTCCCGATGTCACCGTTCGTGCCACCCGGGAAAAATAGTCAAAACGGAAGGAATGTTGAGGAGGGAAGGCAAGTTATAAAAGGTAGAGCGAATGGGGAGATGGAAAAAGTTGTGTGCGTGAATAAAATCACAATGAACAGAGACTAGAAATAAAAGATAACAAAACTAGTGGGTAGATAATAATCCCCGTGTGCCCGTTTGTGAAAATAAACGATGTTCGAGGTTCCCCACTTCAGAGTGTTATTTATGAGGAGGCATACATAAACTTTCACACAGTTCGGTAGTCAGAAAAGTCGGGAAGAACGATGTGAAACGATAAATAACGGTTGTGATAATATGATGTACGAACAAATGGTCGAAAGTGTAGAATAAGAGAGGGAGCAGTTACAGCCGGGTGGCAGCGGATGTCAACGCAAGGAATACGCGAAAACGATAATGGAAATGCACAAACAAGACATACAGTACACTCACACTGGTGTTTTTTGGATAAAATGTGGGCGTCTCCTCATCGTCAGTCAAAAGTAGAAAGCACAAATAAGTACCGATGAGGGCGGAGGATCCAAAAAGTGGATAGCACAAAGTGCGTGAAGCAATTTTCGCTACAACATATAAGAGAATTAGTTCTGGGTACCACCATTATGGAATCCACGTTGAAAAAGCTTGAAGGAATTGCGAATGCGCCTCACGAGTATGAACATGGTATCAATGTATGGATCAAACGCAGCGATATATAAATCTACAAGGTACCAGAAAAAATAGAGTGAGGTAAAAAGTGATTACATTGCAATGAGATTCATACGACCAGCGGTGAAAAACAGTCCGAAATAGAAACATACACATCCGCTCCTAGCCCACATGACATTAAGGATGGTGAAGTTCGTACACAACGCCATGCTAGACTACGAGAATACAAGATAAAGGTGAAGAATATGATACAAATTAAAGCCACAACTCGCACACGCAGGCCGAAATCGATTTTCAGTGGATTTCAAGGCCGAAAACGCCAGATACGAGGTTCGAATTTGAGGTAAAGTGAAATGGTCAATTTAACTACAATCTCATCAACTGTTTGCCGTGACACCCAGAGCCATTCAACATAAGAAATTAAAAGACAATTAATACAAAGGTTAAGCGCAAAAGTGTGAATGAAAATCGCAGCATTAACAGACCAGTTGAAGGTAGGTGACAAGTTGTATGAGTGTGAAGTTAGAATTCAAAACAGTCTGGTGGGGTGAAAAGGAAAGAAAACGTGAGAATATGACACCATAAAAGAGACTCCTGTAATAAGAACCGAAAAAACGTTGAGATAATGCCTTAGAATTGGGTCAAAGTTGAGAGGGCTACGGAATTCGTACGTGGACATGCAAGAAATGGCTTTCAACCAACGGTAGGCCAAAATCAAACGGAACTCGTCCATAAGACAGTACTAACTGTACTGGATGAATTTAGCGACCACACATGGACAATGAAGCAGGATAGTTCACTCAACGCGTCACTAAACGAAGGGCATCAACGAGCAGTGCATATGAGGATTGTCGGTCTGTATGTATGCGAACACAACAACACACTTAACACATTTGGATCAGTTTCAATGAGAGGCAAGGAGTAGTGATAGTTTGTCGCCAGGCACCGGGTGGTGCTAACAGGCACCGGCAATCAAACACGTGTTCTTTAAATACGTGAGTCTCAATCGCTGTAAGTGATCCGTTCAGTAGAAAGTACAACGTTGCATACATTTAGAATGTACCCCGGAAAGACAAGCTGATATCACATAAATGACATGCAAATACCAATGATCGATGTAGCAGCCCTTCTATAATTTGGCCACTATGAGCGGTGCAGGTTTAGCTAGGAAAGTGAGGCGAGTGAGAAGAATAAGTTATTGTTCAGTGTTCGCAACCAGTGAGTTGGCGTGTGTCCGAGGGAACAAAGTCCAGCAACAACCAATTGTCACCAGCAGCAGCAGTACAGCAGAGGGCTTATGGTAGAAACTTTTAGGCTTAAGTGACCTAGACCTTGTCAACAATAAACCGTAACAAACAGCTGGATAACGTGCAAAGATTAGCGTAATGGTACTGACTCTCGCCATAGATCACCCTCAATCACTATTGACCTTAGTCCTAACACTCTTAACAGTAGGCTATCTCAATTAACCAGGTAGCAGGGTCGCAGGTCAGCTTGGCAGAAAGATAACTGAACAAGAAAGAAGTGCATTTAATAGGTGCGAGTTCGTTCGCCCTCGTGATTCACCGAAACATACTGATTGAGTTGGAGACCCATCTCGACATGGAGCAGTTGCGAAGTTCGTGGCATTCCTGCATTTGGTTTCTTGCATGTGGCCGTTAATTTTCCTTCTCCATTAGTTTTGTGCACTTCCGTCTTGGTTCCATTATTTGTATTCGGTTTACATGCAAATGCATTATCTTGCACTTGTTATATATTGTTGTTCTGGCGACGTCAGTCGTAGCAACTGCATCCATCGCACTTCGGGGCCTGCATCATAGTTGGTCCTCGGCCTGGGCAACCGGGAAGCTACATGCCCATACAACTTATAAACCAGTGCTTCAACGACTCTCTGCGTCCTCTGCTCCTTGTCAATGCTACCATCAGCCGAGGTGCTAGCGGCCGAATACAACATATCGCGCTCCACAATACCAGAGTTCGGTTATTTTATTGTACGTGTGTTCAACTCACCCATCCTTGGTAATCCCCTTGGTTTCCGAGTCCACAACACTGTCGTTTTGGGCTTGTTCTCACCATAAGGATCAGGAAGTTAGATCCATGGATGCTCCGCCAAGCAGTACTGCCAAGCCTTTTCTAGCGCCCCTTTCCTAATTCAAGCTGTCGACCTTTAAGGTCCGGACGCTGATGCAGATCGGATCACAAGCAGCCCTTGCTCGCACGCTTAAGACTACTGCTAATGATGTTGGCTTCCTCACGGAAACCTAATTACAGGACTTAGCACGACGCTACGACTCGGTTCATCGTCTGTGAGTCCCGATGACATTTTTATATTGCGCTTATCTGAGGAGGTAACCGTTGAAGCCGTTGGTCTTGCTGACGAGGGAGTTGCGTTGAGCACGTTCTGAGGCCGCGCAATTAGACTGGATCCATGTCAACAGTCGACAACGCACGACCCGTCTTGAGACCACAGCGCGACTTTCCAGTCGCGGGACTAGCAGACGCTCCTTGTTCGTTGTCGCAGCGTACGCTCTTACAGATTGAGGCCCAGAGTCGGTTAAAGATGAGTTTTACGGTCAACTAACCGACCTCCGAAAAAACACCTGCAAGAAACTTAAGCGCAAAGGGCGGATTGGCCACATCGCCAACAGTTATCCTTGACAGGGCTGCATACAGGATTGCATATCAATCTGGAGTGCTTAACTCACTTCGGATCATGTGCTCGTGTGTGCCAAGATCGTTTTATGTTTTAGTGGTTCCCAACGGCGTCGCCCAAAACGCCTTGAAGTGGAAGATTTCTGCTCCGGGTGTTCTCAGAGCGTTTCAGGATGCGCTGACCTCGAATTCCAAGAGCAATTCATGCTCTGAGGTTGAAACGTACTGGGCGCACATTCGCAACGTTATGCACAACTCCGAGACTTTGGTCTGTGGTCGCACCACTAGTCCTGTCAACCACTGAATCTCGGCACGATCTCTCCGAGTTCTCGAAGCTCGTCGGGCAATTCCAGCTGGCGTTGAGTGTCATTCACTACACAGGACCACTAATAATGAACTCAAACAGCTTCTCCGGGAGGATCGCCATGCTTTGTGGATGCGACGGGTCATTGACATAGAGCAGGCGGCCAGCTCTGAGAATTTCCGAATGCTTTTCAACTTGATCTGATCCACTGGTGGCAGAAAACCGAATGTAAGCGAAGTTTTGTGCGAAACCAATGGCGAGAAAATCCCCTGTCAAAAATACCGACTTGAGCGTTGGGTTGAGCACTCTGAGCGGCAGTTTAACTGGCCAGCAGCACTGGTGTGTTCCTATTTAGGAGTCTGTGGTGCACCCTGGTGTGTAGACGCTTCATTACTATCTGAGACTGAAGTAGTCTATGAGCTTCGCCTTCTAAAGCGCTACAAAGGTCCTGGCCCATGCAAACTTTCTCCGGCTTTTTGCAAAGCTGGAGGTTCATCATTTGTTCGGGAGTTAACTTCCCTCCTCCAAAAGGTTTGGACACTCGAAGCAATCCCGTCTGATCAGAGTCCAGCGGATATCGTGCCCCGGTCAGACTGCGCTAAGCACAGAGGGATTAATCTCATCTGCGCTACATCTAAATTGCTCGCCACTCCGCTTTTAAGGAGGCTCAGCCTGGTATACGAACAGAACATACACGAAGAGCAAGCTGGGTTCCACGCTGACCGGAGTTGTATCGAGCACATTTTACTCTCCGGCAAGTACTGGAGCGCTGTCAAACGTCCGGCCTGCTAACGATCATTCTTCTTAGACACCCGAGCTGTCTTTTAAGGTGGGAAGTGCCTGAGAAGTAAGCCAACATACTTCGAGCCATCTACTCTCGAAGCACGGGCAGAGTGCGGGTGTACGAGGAACCATCGCCCTCCTTCAGTATCACTAGTGGCGCGAGACATGACTGATTGCTATCACCTTTTTTGTTCAATTCCGTTACGGACGATATCTTGGAGAACACTGTGAAGAACTGCGGACCTAGCAGCATTGAGCTGCTTCCGGCGGACCGACTTCAGGATTTAGAGTACGCGGAAGACATCCCCGTAATTTTTAATTCCACACTAGCTGCCCAAAATGTGCTGTGCAGGTTGGAAATGTCAGTCTCCCAGTTTGGAATGACTTTCGCCCTGTGGAAGTTCAAGTCTTCATACAGGACTGGTTAGGAGCTGCTCTCAAGCTTACTCTTTCAGGTCATCTTCTGGAAGTGGTAGCCAAGTTCGTTTAAATCGGAAGCTGCAACAGCGTCAACGATTTAACGGATGAGATCTCTATGTGCGACCCGAAGCTTGGGTTGCGTTTGCCAATCTTCGGTATCTCTGGCGTCAATGTGACCTGAGTCGATCCTTAAAGAGCCGAGTCGACAAAGCTAAGGTGAGAGCGGTCTTGCTCTATGGTTGTGGGACTAGGTCTGTTCGGAAAAACGACGTTCAGATACTGTCTGATCTTGATTACCGCTGAGTTCAGAGCATTGCTGGCGTACGACAGGAACGGCACGTTCGCAATCAGGATGATCACCGAAGGCCGCTGAGACGCACAACTGGACTGTATATACTTCGGAGGTTGGGCGTGTGCTTCGCATGCCTATTGAGCATTAGCCTCACCGTGCAATCTTTGCACGCACAGGTTGGCCGGAAGCGAAAAGAAGCTGTCTAGTGAATGACTTGATCCAAAAATGTTAAGGCGCTTACTTCACATTTTCTTGCGGTCCGGTGCCGTCGACACCCTGCTTGGGGACCCAAGGATCAAAAGTACACATGGCTGGGAACTCTAGCGGACAAGTCAAAAACAGTTCTATTAATCTTTCATAACCCCTCCATTCTTTTATTATTGTTATATTGTCTTCGCCCATTCGTAGTGGCACACTGTCAATCGTACTGTTAGGCTACTGCTCTATTTACATATGGTTGGAGGCATCCGGTTCCGGATTCGCCTGTTACCGTGGTTTCCATAGGACGATCACATGACCTCTGGCTTACAGAGGGACCGTGTGTGCCTTGCGCTGCACCACCAACAGATCCATCCACACACCCCATATCCAGTAGAAACCCG